TCCCCATCAACCCACTGTAGTCCAGCCTCTAACTCCACCCCAAAATTCACGCCAATCCCATGTGAAAAATACATTCTCCCCATCCCGGTATTCCCAAAAGTCTTCATCTATTACAGCATCAGCTCCAAAATCCCAGATCTCATCACCTAAGCCGGGAATGAGTGAGGCTCTGAATATGACCCATTTGGAGCAAAATTCCTCTCCACCTGTGAACCTGGAAACTAGAAACAAGTTGTCTGCTTCCAAAATATAATGTTGAGACAGGCAAGGGGTAGACATTCTTAGTCCAAAGGGGAGAAATTGGCAGGAATAAAGGGTCACTGGTCCCAAGCAAGTTCTAAACCCTCAGGGGCAAATTCCACTGGACATCAAGGCCCTACAGGGAGGAATCCTGTTGCCCTCAGCTCACTCACATTTGTTCCTCACAGTAACTCCGTGAGTTTCCCAAGCCCCTATTATGGGTGAGAAACAGGCTACCTCACCGTGGTTACAGCGCAGATCAGCACCATCTTGACTTTCATCTCCAAGTTATAGGGAAGGTCCTGCTACCACTATTCCCAGTTCAAAGACGAGGGGCCTGAGGCCGAGAGGTGCTAATCAAACTAGAGGGTCACGTAGCTGGTAAGTGGCATCGCTGAGACTCAAACCAGGTCAGTCTGTCTTCTAAGGTGTCGATTCGTGACCTACTCACGCGCCGGAGAAGTGAGAAATTCTCCTGGGCCTGCCTTCTTCCTGTGTGCCCGCAGAAAGACAAATCTAAAAATAAAACACCCTGTCTCTCCTCTGCCCACGAAACACCACCCAGGCCTTCTGCAGGTAAAAATACAAAAACAAAGTGAGGAAGATGGTGCCGGCGCCTTAGCCAGTGGGAGGCCCCCCAGGGAAGCCAGCTTCTTTTATTGTTAAGTGTTGGGTAGATTCGGGCTTCTGGCTTGGGCCTGGGGAGCCAGGCCTGTGCTGTCGGGGGGACTTCGGTTCCTGCATCTGCATCTAATCTGGTGTTAAATGAGCAGGGCAACCTGAATGCTGTCTTCTCTTGAGTGACTGTATGTGATGGTGACAGCCCGACAGAACCATTTTCTAGTATGACATTTTCTAGTATGACAGCTTCCCCAGGCCTCTGTTTTCCCGTCTGTATAATGGGAGCAGTCACGATCCCAGCCTGACCAAATTGTTCAAGAAGTGAACGAGTTGGGATAGAACAGAGGTTGGTCTACACTCTAGGCCAGTGATGGCGAACCTATGACATGCGTGTCAGAGGTGACACGCGAACTCATTTTTTTGGTTGATTTTTCTTTGTTAAATGGCATTTAAATATATAAAATAAATATAAAAAATATAAGTCTTTGTTTTACTATGGTGCAAATATCAAAAAATTTCTATATGTGACAGGGCACCAGAGTTAAGTTAGGGTTTTTCAAAATGCTGACACGCCGAGCTCAAAAGGTTCGCCATCACTGCTCTAGGCCATGACAGTGAGCGTGAGGAACAGCAGCCAACCTCCCGCACCTCGTCCCTCTCGCCCTCCCGTTCCTTCCCCGGCTGGCAGGCCCCGATTCATGCACTGGGCCTCTCCTCTAGTTTAAAATAAAATCAAAAGAGCCAGAGAGAGAAGTCTTGGACTGCAGAGCCCTCTGGAGAGAGGAATCACTGAGATTATAAGCGACAGAGGTCCTTTGTTTCCGGGGAAACCGACTTTGCCAGGGCCAGGGCCCAGGGATTGGGGGACGATGAGGCCCCTTATCGGAGGATCGAGGGCTCCGAGGAGGTGTGTGAAGGCAAGCGGATCACACTCAGGAGCCAAGCCTCAGGGAGGTGGCCGGGAACCAGGTCCACCTGGATCCATGGGCCGGCGAGCAGAGCAGGGGCCAGCGACGATAGACACGCAGTGAGAGGGTCTGGGCCCGGGAGGCACCAGATGGGCCCCTGACCTGCGCCGCCCTCACCGGGGCCTTTGCCAAGGTGGGGGTGAATGTGCCGATGGGAGGACATGGGGACTGAAGGGAGGTTTGGACCTGGAGGACTTCTGGGCCTCAGTGTCCTCATTTGAGAAATGGGGACATTCATTTATCATTTGACAGGAAGTCACCAAACATTTGCCTGGCGCTCGTCTCATTCCCCCACCCCCCACCTCCCGCTACACCAGCCTCCTGACGCTCACCAAACACGTCCCCACCCCAGGGCCTCTGCACTGGCTGTCCCCTCTGCCTGGGTGCTTTGCCCACCACCCTTGTATCCATGTGAGAAGTCGCCCCATTCATTTCCCAGCTCTGTTGCCTTGGGCAAGAAACTTAACCTCTCTGATCTTCCATTCTCTCGTCTGTAAAATAGTGCTAGTAATTGTCCCTCTGAGGAATGAGCATGAGGGCTTATTACAAGTCGGTTACTGAAGTGTCTGCTGTTATTATTTCTGTTGTTATTTTGTAATATGTTTGCGTGCGTATACTGCCTGCTCCTCCCTAGTGGGATATTGGGAGGGGACATACATACTACAGGCATTTAAGGCCATGAGTCAACCCCACCCCGAAAGAGATGGTGTCCCCAGTCCTGCCTGGGAGCTAATGGGGCACGAAGGCAGGGCTGGAAGTTTCGGGTTGGGTGGTACAAGCTCCAGCAGAAAGTCCTTTTTCCCTCTGACTTCGCATCCCCAGGGAACAGCCGTTCTGGCGGGGGAAGCAGCGCGTTGGAAGGTGGGCAGTTAGTTACACTTACACGGGGACCAAGCACCTCCGTGCCAGGCTCTGGGGAGCTTGGGCAGCGCCTCTCGCTGTCCGAGTTTTACCCTTGAATGATGGCATCTCAGGCAGCATCCAGAAATGTCCTCTCTGTGATTCTAACTCCGTTCTGGGTTCTTTCTCGTTGGCCTGCCTCCCACAGAGACACCCAGGGCTCCGGGGTCCCCGTGTCGGGCCCCAACCTGTCGACCACCCGGCCGATCCAGCAGGACCTGGGCCGCCAAGACCCGCCGCCGGCCGAGGACATCGACAACATGAAGAACAACAAGCTGGCCACCGCAGAGGCCGCCGGTCCCCACGACAGCCTCGGCCACGCCGGCCTGCCCCAGAGCCCAGCCAAGATGGGGAACAGCACCAACCCCGGCCCCACAATGGCCCCGTCTGCCATGGCCACCAATCCTCAGAACGCCGCCGGTCGCCAGATGCCCAACAACCCGGGGAACCCGTCCAACCCCGGCCCCCCCAAAACCCCCGAGAACAGCCTTATCGTCACCAACCCCAGCAGCACCCAGACCAACTCAGCTAAGACTGCCAGGAAACCCGACCACACCGCGGTGGACATCCCCCCGGCCTGCCCGCCCCTCAACCACACCGTCGTCCAAGGTGAGACTCCACCCTCCACTGTCACTGGTGGGGACCAGTGTCCCTGGGCTCAGTCCCTAGAGGCTCAGCTGTGTGACCCTAGACAAGGATCCCACCTCTCTGGCCTCAGTTTCTTCCTCTGGAAAATGGGTATCTATGTAGTTTCTGCCCCGCGGCGGCTGGGAGCATTAAATGAGATACTATGCATAGAGTGGTTGGCCTGCACATGCTCAGAAGGGTTCATGATATTTCCTGCATCCCGAATCCCCACAAGAGAGCCAGGAAGCCACCGTATTTGAGGAGCAATGGATTCTTCTGCTGGAAATTTGGGAAAGTCATACGATTCTCTAAGCCAGCGCTTTCCAAAAGGAATGTGACACAGACCACATATGTAATTGTATTTTTTTAAATATATTTTTATTGATTTCCACAAGGAAGAGGGATGAAGAGAGAGAGATACAAACATCAATGATGAGAAAGAACATTGATCGACTGCCTCCTGCACGCCCCCTATTGTGGATCGAGCCCGTAACCCCTGCATGTGCCCTTGACCGGGAATCGAACCGCAATCTCCTGGTTCCTGGGTCAGTGCTCAACCACTGAGCCACACCAGCCAGGCCACATATAATTTTAAACTTTCTGGTAGCCACATTAAAAGACCAGAAGGATGCCCTAGCCGGTTTGGCTCAGTGGATAGAGCGTCAGCCTGTGGACTGAAGGGTCCTGGGTTTGATTCCGGTCAAGGGCATGTACCTTGGCTGCAGGCACATCCCCAGTGGGGGGTGTGCAGGAGGCAGCTGATTGATGCTTCTCTCTCATCGATGTTTCTAACTCTCTGTCCCTCTCTCTTTCTCTCTGTGGAAAATCAATAAAGTATATTTAAAAAAAAAAAAATAAAAGACCAGAAGGAGGAAGGAAGGGAAAGAGGAGGGACAGAGGGAGGGAGGGAGGGAAGGAAAGAAGGAAGGAAGGAAATGAATGAAAAATATAGAGGAAATACAAAAGTAGGTATAATAAACTAATAAGTTATATTTAACCCAAAATGTTAATTATGTCCAAAATGTTACCATTTCAACATAAAATCAATATTTTAAAAATTATTAACGAGCTACTTGACGTTCTCTTTCTCACATTCAGACTTTGACATCTGTGTGTCTTGTGCTCACAGCACTTCACTATTGGGACCAGCACGTTTCCATGTTGGACAGTGCAGGTCTAGGCTCTGGAGGGACTGGTAGTTCTTACCCCTCGCTCCATCCCCCATTTAAGATTGGGACTTGAGAAGCACTAGGAATTTGGAGATGACCCAGTGAGCTTGTTATTTTCTACGATGGTAATAGTAGCCCAATTCTTCTAGTGTCAGTTCTGTGCAAGAGAGTCCATGAGTTTGTCCTGTAAATGCTCAGCACAGTCCTACACAGTGGGTCTTGTCATTGTGTCCATTTTACAGATGGAAAAACTGAGGCTCAGAGGTGTGTGAATGGGGAGAAACCCTCATTTTGATGGTGGGTGAGCTCAGTATCCTCACCTGTAAAGTGGGGATATTTGGACCTACCCTGCCTGCCTTCAAGTGATAGTATGAAGGTCATCATGAGATGGGGACAGGTCTGTGTTAATATCCTGTGAGGGTCCCAGCAGACTCAAGGCTATAGAGTAGTTGAGAGCGGACGCTCTGGGGCCAGGCTGCCCAGGTTCAAATCCCTGCTCTGCCAAGTCCCAGCTGTGTGACCTTAGGCAAGTCACTTCACCTCTCTGTGCCTCAAGTTTTCTCATCTGTGAAATGGGGATCATAAAATACCAACCTCATAGGGTTATGCCAGGACCATAATATGGTGCCTGGCACATAGTATCCGTGTCAGCAGCTTACTGCCTACTCTGGGGAGTGAACGGGAGCCCAGGGGCTTGTGGGAAATTGTGGCAGGAGCCCTGTGTTGGATCTTGTCCCAACAGTGAACAAAAACGCCAACCCAGACCCACTGCCAAAAAAGGAGGAAGAGAAGAAGGAGGAGGAGGAAGACCCCGGGGAAGACGGCCCCAAGCCCATGCCCCCCTACAGCTCCATGTTTATCCTCTCCACGACCAACCCGTGAGTATGACCTGCAGCTGGGACGGCGCACGTCGGGCCCGAGAGCAGACCAGACGGGGTGATGGGGGAGAGGGGACCTCCCAGACCGAACGGGACCAGTGAGCACATTTTTCAATGACACCCTTTTCCTGAGTCACATAAGACAGAAGTTTGTCATAAAGCACTGATGTCGCTGGGAAAGACCCACTCCTGCCATCGGCGGGAAATCATGGTCATGAGCATCCGCGTCTGCTCTGTCTATAAAGAGGGTGCCTCTCAGACACGGCCCTGTGCCGCGCACCCCTGACCCCGGCTCCTCGCGGGTTGGCATGGTGGGTGGGTGTTCTCTGCCCGAGCCCCCTGGCCCTCGTCTCGGGCATCCTCAGGGAGGATGGGTTACCCAGGAGAGAAGTCCATCGCACGCCTGTCATGGGGTTCAGCGTCATGTTAGGATGACGTGTTTCCAAAGGGTATTTCTTGAAAAAGGGTATTTCTTGAAACTCTGGTCCCTCAACGTGCTCTGGACAAAGCTGGGGTGGGGCTGGGGGGAGACTGCTTTCTGTAACCTGCCTCTTTGGGACTCACCCTGTCCGTTTACTTTCTCATTTAGTTGGCATCACCTATTTTACTGGAGAAATACTTACGTGGCCCTTACTTTGTGCCTGGCATGGTTCTGAGTGCTTTACAATTTCATTTTATTTTTAATTCTCCTAATAACCCTGTGGGATTGGTCCTACACTTAGTCCTATTTGACAAGTGAAGAAACTGAGGCCCGGGAAAGGGAAGTCACCTGCCCAAAGTCAGACAGGAAGCAACTGGGGCAGCCCAGACAAGGCTGACCCCGCCACCCTGTTCTTAACCACTCACTCCCGCTGCCATGCATGCAGCCCATGTTTATTATTTTTAGCTCCACTTAAAAAGTTTAGTTCTTAAGTATTATCCCATTAGCATATTAAAGGCTCTAATAAGGCTTGGGACTCATAATTTAAGTAATTTTTTGGAGCCCTTACCACTAACTCTTTGATCCCCACCTTCTTGTGAGTTAGGCCCAATTGTATGGCCACTTCACAGATGAGAGCACAGAGGGCCGGAGTAACTTGCCTATGGTCACGCGGCTCTTTTTTTTTTTTTTTAAAGAAATCTACTTAACCCAGAGTTCCCCAGTTGTATTTAATCACAGGACATTTTCTGCATGAAAAACCTTTTCATCTACAAAATCAAGGACAACGCAGCCCAGGAATCAGTTGTTCCAAGAGGGCTGTTTGGAAGTAATAAAAACTTACACACAGGGCACGTGAAGATCCTCCCTGGCTGAGGGCCCCTGCCTTCTTGGGGCTTTAGGATCCTTGTACACCCAGATGTAGGAGCTGGATAGTTTGTTGGTTGTGGGACTTGGGGAGTGAGAGATCTCGGGGAGCGGTCGATGGCAGAGGAGATGGTAGAAGGGACGGGCTGCGAGCCCACGGTCTGAGTGGACCTCTGCACGCCCCTCGGCCCCCACAGCCTTCGCCGCCTGTGCCATTACATCCTGAACCTGCGCTACTTTGAGATGTGCATCCTCATGGTCATCGCCATGAGCAGCATTGCCCTGGCGGCTGAGGATCCCGTGCAGCCCAACGCGCCGCGGAACAACGTGAGTCCTACCCCGCACCCCCTTCCCAGCCCAGCTCCTCCGTCTCGGGCCACCTTCTCCTGCATCCAAAGGCTCGCAGCCAGGGTGGAGGGCATGCTGGTCGGAAGGGGAAGCTCCGGTTCTTTGGGGCTGCTCTGGGGAGCAGGGTCCTCGAGGAGGCAGTGGCTCTGTGCACCTGGTGAAGAAGCGATGGCCTAGGGTGGCTAGGGCTGCAAATGGCTAGAGTCCCGCGGGCGGGGGGAGTGAGGCTGAGAGAATGTGGAGCTGTGCTTTCTCTGTGTGGAATGTGGGGGGGGGGGTGGTATTCAGGCAGGGGGTGCTCAGAGGCAATCCCCTAGGCAGCCAGGTCTCACCAAGCAGACTTCCATGTTGACATGAAGTTTTGAAAGAGGATATTTTCACTCAGAAACACAGCCTAAACTTTGAGCCTGGTGTGTGTGTGTGTGTGTGTGTGTGTGTTTTGTTTTAATCCTCACCTGAGAATATTTTTCCACTGATTTTTAGGGAGAGTGAAAGAGAAAGACAGAGAGAAACATCGATGTGAGAGAAACACATCGATTGGTTGCCTCCTGCACGAGCCCTGACCAGGGCTGGAGAGGAGCCTGCAACCAAGTACACACCCTTGACCAGAATCGAACCTGGGACCCTTTAGTCTCCAGGCCAACACTCTATCCACTGAGCCAGACTGGCTAGGGCAACTTTTAGCCTTTTTGAAGAACTAAAAAGCTCTCTCTGGCCAGTCCTGGGTCTGCGAACAGCCCCTGTTAATGGAGCACTTGCTGTGTTCCAGGCATCACCCCAGGCGTTGGACATACAAGCCCTCCCAATATCCTCATTGGATAGATAGCTGGGGAGACGAATGCTCAGTGAGGTTAAGTGACTGGTCCAGGGTCACAGAGCAGAATTCCACTTCGACCTCCCCTGGAGGCCAAACTGCTGTGTGTGTTTTTCAACCATCTCCATTCACTGAGCACCTACTCTGCGTCTGGCCCCCCTGGCAGCCTGCCAATTAGGAACGCGTGTGTGCCAGTGGTTGAGAGGGGAAACTGAGGTAGCGGCAGGCAAGGGTGTGGCAGAGGCTGGGCTGGCAGTGCTGCCTCCCTCCCCAGCTCCTGCCCCATGGCTCCCCCTGCCCAGCACAGAGGTACATTTCCCACTGGGAGTGAGGCCCTGCCATCCTCACTAAGTAGGTTAGGAGCCTGGCGAGGCCGGAAGGCCCCATAAATCAAGGCCTCCTGTTGGCAGCTTACCTTGCACTTTCCCTTCTTTTGCAGGCGGGGCAGGCCTCCTGGGGACCCTACTGCAGGGCCGGGGTTGGGGAGCAAAATCAGAGGAAATAATTAGAACACGGCTCCCGGAGGAAACCAGCTCCAGCGCAGGGCTGAGGCCACACTCGGTTATCTGCCCAGCTCCCCCGGGGCCTCAGGGGCCCAGGCCACAGGAGGGGCCTCCAGAGGGCTCAGCAAAGGCCTTGCCTACTCCAGAAGACCAGAGAAGGGGAAGGGGCCTGGAGGGGCCGCAGCTCCCAGCACTGTGGGAACCCAGGCAGGGCTCCAACCAGCCCCCAAGGGGTTGCAATGGGTCTGTTCCCCGCTCCATCTCACAGTTGAAACTTCTCCCCTGAAAGCCCTCCTCCCCTCGTCAAGAACGCGGTGCCATCTGATGCCCAGGGACCCCTCCCAGAGTTCTTCCTGTTAGCCCAACCAGAACAGGCCTCAGAAAAGTGCGTAGAACATGTGGGATCCACTTAGCAAGGACTTCAAAGTGCACCACACCCATGTAACCACCATCCGGGACAGGAAGTAGAACGGAACCGCCCCTAACCTCTGGCGCCAACTCGATCACCCCTCTTCTTCCCTCTGGAGGGGGATTCAAATCAGGGACACCATGCGGAGACTTGTTTGATTCTCATGACTTGGGGCACGTTGGGGGTGCTACTGACATCTAGAGGTGGAGGCCTGGGGCGCTGCTCACTGCCCTGCAGCGCCCAGGGCAGCTCCCTAGGCGAATGCTCCCAGCCCAGATGTCGGCCGTGTGGACCCTGGAAAGCCCTGCCCTGGAGGTCACCATGGCCCCGCCTCTGGAAGGCGTGTTTCTTAGCTTCTCTGATTTTCCTACCCGCACATGTGTCCTTAGACGCTAGAATTCATTTTTGCCCGTTTCTAACGCTAAACAGGTGGCGTCGTGCTATGCCTTGCTTCTGTCACCCAGCGCGGCGTCTGCTGTGAGATGGTAGCGGCAGTCATGCTTTTTCATTGCTGTTTAATATTCCACCGTGTGGCGTGGCTCGCTTGTTCATCTTCCTGTTGATGAGCGTTTGGAGTATCTCCACTTCAGAATCCCCACACCTGGGCATGACCTTCCCCGGGGTGTAAAGCCAGTGTTTGGATCATAGAATTTGCTCTGGTTGGGCTCACCAGATGTGACCAGATGGTTACTGGATGACGATGTGGTGGTTGTGCTGGCAGCGTATGGGGGTCCTCCTGCTCCCTGGTCTTGTCAACACTTGATGCTGGCGGCTCTCGCATTTGGCCGACCTGTTGGGTGTGGAATGGAATCCCACAGGGACTTCGCTTTACGTTACTCCTGTGATAAATGAAACTGAGAGCCTTTTTGGATGAGACCGAGCCATAGAAAGTTGTCATTTATGTAGGTCAAAAGGATCTAAATATTAGATATGGTTGAATCTGACTTACTGGACTGTTGATATCTTCTTATCCAACTTCCTCAGCTCTCCAGAATTGATTCACCTGACCATCTGGCCTGCTCTTCCCCCAGTGCTTTCCTGCTTTCCTCCCTTCCTTCCATTCATTGCTTCACTTAGTTGCCATTTAATGAGCAACTATTATGTGCCAGGCACAGAGTAAACATCAAGGCTTGACAGTACAAGATGGTCTCTGGCTTCCCAGAGCTCACAGAGCGCCAGGCCTGTGGCCATGCTGTGCCCTCTGCTTGGCGAGACTGGAATGCTCTCCCTCCACCATCCCCTCTGCCTGCCCAGATCCTTCCAGCCCCTTCTGCCTGCCGCCCACTCCAGGAAGTCAGTGCCTGGCCACGCTGGTCCCTGATGGCCCCTCAAAGCCACACATAATGAGAATGGGAACTGTGACCACACAGATCCCAGAGGCCCAGAGCTCCCGCGGGACCCAGTGCAGCTGCAGCCATTCACGCCTTCATTCAGCAAACACTTCTTGAGGACGTACTGTGTGCCTGGCCCTGTATTGGGAGTTGGAAATGCCACAGGGACAAACATTCCTGTCCTCAGGGGGCTGACATTGTCGTGGGGAACATGGACAGTGAGATTATCAATAACTGAAACAAGGGGTTTGTCAAGTGGTGATAAGTGTGTGTGGGGGGGGGGGGGGGGTGGAGGAGAGACTAGGTAAGGACCATCACAAGTACCAGGAAGGGGCATTTTAAACAGACGGTCAGAAAGGGCACCGAGAAAGTGATACATGAACCAAGCCACAACGGAGAAGAGAGAGGGATCAGGTGGGACATGGGGAAGAGCGTTTCAGACAGAGGGAACAGCCTGTGCGAAGGCCCTGAGGTGAGGACATCCAAGGTGGCAGGGCCCATGCAAGTGAGGGGGAGAGTGAGAGAAGGTGAGGGCCGGGGGTGACTAGGCAGATCGTGCAGGGCTTTGGGGACTATGGGGTGGACTTCAGTTTCTACCTGGAGTGAGGTGGGAGCCACAGAGGATTCTGAGCAGAGAAGGTCCTGACCTGACTCCGGTGCTCGCAGTCGCCCTCTGGTGGCGGTCCTCTGTAATTATCAGCCCTTCAACAAGAATCGGACAAGTTCCCCCTGCACTTAACTGTGCCTACACCGTGGCAATCCTCACAACAGCGTCACATCAGAGACGTGCTGACATGTGGCCTGAAGGGGACCCAGGCTACAGGACATTGTTCGTCCAGGCAGACCCCACCTGGCCTGGGCAGATTAAAAAGGTGCCCTTCCCACTGGCCAGCAAACCAGCCTAACAGAGTGATTCTGTTAGGACTTTGCTGCCACCTGCTGGACCGTTTCTTCCACGACATACAAATCTACACTGTGAGGCGAGGTGGGAGGGGCCCTTGTGCAATGCACGCCCTGCCCAGCTGCACAGGGCACCTGGGTTCCTTCCTCTGGGTGGAGGCTCTCCTCCTTGGGGACAAGCCATGACCCACTGCCCCCTGCTTTCATCCCCTGCAGGTGCTGCGATATTTTGACTACGTTTTCACAGGCGTCTTTACCTTTGAGATGGTGATCAAGGTGAGTGCCAAGGGATTCTGCTCCCTCAAGAATGGTCCCCTGGCACAGGCGGGGGTTGGAAACGCCTGTGTGTTTGAGGAGCAGCGAGGCCGGTGTGATTGGAAAGACTGAACGAGTAGAGGAGAGAAAACCAGGGCAGGGAGGTGACAGGGACAGGTCGTGCAGGGGTTTGGTGGCCACAGGGAGGCCTTTGGCGTTTACCCCAAGTGAGTGGGAGCCATAGAGGGTTCAGAGCAGAGGATCGTGACTGGGCTGGGGTGCTCACAGGTGCCCTCTGCTGTCTGTGGGAAGGACAGGCTTGGAGGGAACATAAAGGGTGGATGGGAGCCATAGAGGGTTCAGAGCAGAGGAGGGAGGGTGGGTAGGAGCCAAGAGAACTAGGAACAGATGATGGCGCCGGCCCAGACAATGATGATGGGGGCCAGGTAAGGGTGGAAGCAGATAAGGTGACAGGACATGGGCAGATTTTGGGGATCCAATGTGGGGTGTAAAACAAAGAGGAGTCCAGGGGGACCCCGAGGTTTGAGCCTAAGGACCAGCAAGTGAACGCTACCTTTCATGAGGGGTCAGCTCCCATGGGTGGGGGTTTCTCACTCCTCCCCGAGGTCCTCTGGCCTCTGCCCCCTGCCCCATCCGTCCAGGAGGAAGTGATCCCACTGGCGGCCACGCCCCTGGAAGGGTGGGGGCCGCTCCCCACGGTGGGGGTGAGCGGCCTGAGCCCTGTCTCTTCTGCCCCCGTAGATGATTGACCTGGGGCTCGTCCTGCACCAGGGTGCCTACTTCCGCGACCTCTGGAACATTCTTGACTTCATAGTGGTCAGTGGGGCCCTGGTGGCCTTTGCCTTCACGTAAGTCTCTTCTCGAGGCCTCCACCCGCCTCTTGGGTCCCCTCCCCTGGCCTGGGGCCACCCGTTGGGTCAGAGGACGTGGTCTCATGGTGTAGAGATGGGGCGCGTGGGCTCTGGGTCGTGGGAGGCATCGCATGCCACTGGGAAGAGCTGCGGTTGGCTTTTGCATGACGCCCACCGTGGAGGAAGAAGGAGAAGGGACCCCCCTACACGCCTTCTGCCTCCTCAGTCACGGCCCCTCGCTATGCTGCTTTCCGTAGACTAGCCCTGCCAGGACATTCCATCTCCCTTCTGCTCCATGTCTCTGTGGGGAGCCCCTAAAAAGACAACCAGGAAACAGATGTGCATGAGAGTTCGGACCCCACCCTGTCGGAAGGCCCCCATAGCTGTAGACTTGGTGACTCCCCTTGTGTGTCTTTCACTTCTCCTGGTGACCCTGGGGCGCGTGGCCTAGTCAAAGGGCCAGGCTTCATCGGGCAACTCCAAGACAGCACCCGGGCTGAGCCGCCACCAGCTCCTAGGGCAGTGACGGCGAACCTTTTGAGCTCGGCGTGTCAGCATTTTGAAAAACCCTAACTTAACTCTGGTGCCGTCACATATAGAAATTTTTTGATATTTGCAACCAGAGTAAAACAAAGACATATTTTTGATATTTATTTTATATATTTAAATGCCATTTAACAAAGAAAAATCAGCCCAAAAAATGAGTTCGAGTGTCACCTCTGACACGCGTGCCATAGGTTCGCCATCACTGTCCTAGGGCCCTGGCGGCGGTCTTAGCAGCACATTCCTCAGGTTGTAGGCGTGTGGGTCAGGGTGAAAAGGCCTGACCAGCCCCTCATCCAGAAGCGAATCTTCTTGGGGTCCCTGTCTGTGCCCCTCACAGCGGATCGTGCCCAGCAGGCGAGGCTCGGGGACCTGCCTCTGCACCCTGCCTCTGGCTTCCTTCCCAGCACATCTGCAGGGGGGTCCTGAATGGCGCCCTGAACAGCCTGAGGGCGTGGTTTGTCGTGAGGGCCATGGCCGATCTAAGGACTGCAGTGCCCGCTCCCGGGTCTCCCCGGGGAATGAGGACGGTCACGCGGGGTCGGAGGCCCCTGAGCTGCGGTGGGTGTACCGTGAGGGTCAGGAGGCGGATTACGCTTCTGACTCAGGCCAGGCCTCCCATCCCCTTTTTTCTTTATCGTCTACTTTCTCCTCATCTTCCTATCTCTGCTCTTCATTTCCGCACTTGTTCCTTTCTTTCCTCTTTCTTTCTCTCCCTCCTCACCTCCCTCCTTCTCTTCTTCCCTCTTTTTTAAGTAATTCTTTGAGTATTAGAGCAATGGAGGAGATTATTTTAAAAATCAAGAAGTTTGGCCACACTATTAAGATGTTCTGTAGGTAATGATAATAATGATGGTGGTGGTGGTGATGATGATGATGAAAAAGTACAATGCACATCAAATGGGAGAATTAGCACAAATAAGACACGTCGATGGCCTTAATATACAAAAAGCAATTGCAAATCAATAAGAAACACTGGCCCTTGATAGATAAATGGGCAAAGGATTCAAATGGGAATTAATACAAATCAGATACAATTTGTTTCCCATCAAAGGGCGGGTTTTTAAAGATAATACACAGGCTATGTGAGAGTGTGATGAAATACACCCTCCCTCCCTCCATCAGCTATTCCAGTGGCTCCTATGAGGGTCAGGCAGGCACCTTGGTGGGCCCTGAAAACGTTTAAATTCTGAAGAGCCAAACATTTGCCCTCAACCTGGAGTGAATCCTTCTCAAATCCCCTTCCCTCCCTTGCTCCTGTTTCTCTCTTTCTTCTTCTTCTCCTTCTTCTCCTCCTCTCTCTGGCTCCCTCTCTTGCTTCCTCTTCTTGCTTCCTCTCTCCTCTCTGTTTCTTTCCCTCCCTCCCTCTCTCTCTCCCTCTCTCTCTCTTCTTGGTACTCCTGTCCTTCCATTCTTCCTCCATTCCTTCCATTTTCTATCTTTTCTCTCTGTTTATTACTCTCTCTCTCTCCCGCCCCTCCTTCCTCCATCTCTCCTCCCTCTCCTTCCCCCCCACCCCATCTCTCTTCCTCT